CAAGGTGAGATAAACAAGTATCAGTACAGAATATGTGATTGTTTTTCATGTCTGCTTCTTTGCGTAACTACAAACCACTTATAAGTGGAGATAAACCATCAGATGAACCAATCTAATTTTCTGTACCGCATTTATCTTATCAGGATACAGTATCTGACATGCATATATTAACTGCCTTTGAAAAAAATAGCTGGGAGAATAAAGGCTTTCAGATAAGTACATGGGAAACGAGTACAAAATGATAAAAAAAATCAACAAGCATAGTTCCTTACTACATCAGGGCTTTTAAAAAATGTTTGTCCTTTTTTTTTTTTTTAAATTCTGAATTTAAGATAGTGAATAAAGGAAAAGAATAAATTATTCACACCCATTACACCAAAAAAAATAAATAAATCAGGTAATAGAAATTACAGAAAAAACTTCTGTTTTCTCATAGATGTTCAACAAATCTAAAACCTGGGAGCAGATTTAGGGCTTGAATTTCTACTATATTTTCTCAAGGAGAGCATGGGTTAACATCATGAAGTCAGTGAACACCAAAGTGGTGCAAATGAAAAGTGAGTTTGCTTTATGCACAGGGGCTCAAAGCAATTTGTCTTAGCCACCATTTTATTATCTGATCTAAAAATTAGGTCAAATCCTGCAGCTATTGTTTAGTCTTTATCAGATGTATGTTCCAGTGGGTTTAACTCTACTTTTGATTACACAGGCTCAGATCTCATTCATTGTTTTAACAGGAATTTTGCCCTGTTAGGTTTTATCTGCTCAATGGCATCAGCTCTGTTACAGAAAATTTACATTAAAATTTATATTTGGTCACATTTTTCACAGCCAAAGGCAAAACTGCCCAAAATCCCTCCTTTCTCCCTCCCTCCACAACAGGAAATGTTTTTTAATTGAGCAGGAAAACTGTATCAAAACTTATTAGTGACTTCTAAGACTCCTCATAGGATTTGCCTAGAATAAATCAGAAATGTGCGAATAAATAGGAAATGTGTTTTAGCACTTTCCTAGGCAAATATCTCAGAAAATTTATTGTATCTTTCCAGCTTCACCAAGATACATACATTAGGTGTCACTGCTTTGTTGGTTTCTGATATATCTAAAATGGCAAAGTGAAAATTAATCCCAACAATTCTGCTGGTTTAAGAGGATGAAATGCTCAGCTCTGCTCTCATGGGGAGACCAGTGCCCCAAGACAATGAATTCCATGAAACAGGAAAGACTTGCCTTTGCAGAAAGAGCCTGCACAGAAGGGAGTAATTTCCCAGCATACACATGATCCAGGAGTCTGACAGTGATTTGCTGTAAATGCCCTGAACACTTCAGGAAGCTGGAATGTTGTCTTTAAACTCAGGCTCTTTTCCTGTCTGTATTGCCAGCATGGGCAACCTTTGAAAACCAGCAGCATCTTTAGTCCATATTTATAGATCATTCCTTTCCTGAATAACTGAAGCTCTTGGTCAAAGCAATGTTGCAATTGATTTCCACAGAGAACTTTCATTGACCAGGTTGTTATGTACTTTCTGACACATGCCTGACCCTGTATTAAACAAACACAAGCTGCTTTTCCAGGATGCACATTTTTCACACTTTCAAATTACTTTTCAGTTAATTCTATTACACGCTCAGTGAACAGTGATGCTGGGTGCTATTTTTCTGTTTGTTTGTTTTAATGGAGTGCAGCTCCAGCCCTTGAGAGGACACAATAATTCCAGAATCAGACATAAGGGCATAAGGGAGAAAAAACATAAAGTGGATAAGGAGAAAAGGAGAAGTAAATGAACAGGGAAAGGGAGAAAGAGGAAGAGAGAGAAGAGAAGGAGATGGGGGGAGGGGGAGAGAGAGAAAGAGGAGAGAAGCTTTTCCTAATGTGCTAGATATGGCTAGTTATGCTACAATTGTACCTGTCAGGATAAAATCACCAGGTTTGGGTATTAAGACAAATAATTCCACTTAAGCAGTTTACATGCTCCACTGGCCCCTCACCTTACCCAAAGGTGTCAGTGCTCACTCTTCTGCCAATTATAAGGGAAGACTGCACTGGTGACAAATAAGCAGCTATAGCTACAGACTGATGTGGAGATGGACTCTTCTGTCCCTCTTGAGATTTGGACATCCTTGATTTCCTGGATTAATAAATACTGCATAGAACCTACACTGTATCCCCGCTTCAAGGCACAATGTGTAACCATCAGAATACTTAACCAGCTGTGTTGGAAGTTTGTTATTACATTGGAAGTTTGTTATTACATTGCCAGTGCACATTCAGTCCTAAGAAGTCAAAGTTGTGAATACAGATGAGCGTTGGTGTAACTGCGTTTAAAAGAGTAGTCTTGCAGACCAAATGACATCAGGAAGTAAGGCACACTCCCCACATCATCTTCCTGAGTTCCTAAAAAGTAGGTGGGAGTTACCTGACAAATTTATAGAAATCTGTGCATGGAAAATTTTCCAAAGAATGTGCTTTTGTTGCTGGTTTAAAATCCTCAGACTGAAGGACCTGTACTTCAACCCTTAATCCCTAGGACTCTAAGTGACTTGCCTGTGTCACAGCTGTCCAAGAACCCCAAATTCAGGGACAAGAGGTTAAAAAAACTTCAGTAAGGTACAAAGACACATTTGAATTACAGGCGTCTAAAATTCCCTGGTGTTTATTTAATTTGACTTTTCTGGGGAAAAAAAAAAAGGCACTGAGACTCTGGAAAAATCACTGAACTGATTGTTCCCCTCTTTCCAAAATATAGTAAGAAAAATAAGCGAACTCTGTATTACGAGCACCTTCAATATAAATGTGGACACCTAGGAAGAAAGGTCAGTTGATATAAAATGCATTGACACATAATGATTATGTGTTATATAGGAATTAGGTGCACAGGTATGCCAGGACACGAGAGTTACTTAAATATCAAGTAAAATACACTTAAGTATATATAAAATACTTCCAAACTGTGTTAATTTAATGGTCATCTGTCAAGGGCTACCTGGCAGGACATGAGAATCTACTGAATGAGTTAACTGCAGAGTCATAATCTAAAAAACCTGTTCAAACATTGCTAAACCTCTCTGAAGTATTGACTGCTTGTAAGAAAAAAAGAATTGAAACCACTCTCTTTTGTTTCATTACAAAAAAGGAAAATCCTGAAAGTATTGAAAAGCTTCCTGCCATGGGAAAGCAATATGCACACATGTACTGGCATTTCTGCTTTTGCAGGAAGACTGTCTTGTACAATAATTTTAATTCCCCTTAGCCCTGGGGAAATTCTCTGAGGGCAAGCCTATACTTAAAAGTACGATTTCCCATTTTACTTGGACTAAAAGCATTCAAAAATGTGTATTTAAACAGCACTTTTGAGATTTCTATCTGGATGTTTATACAGAAAGTACCTCCTCTTTGAGGATTTAACCAAGTACTAGTTTCTCAAGAACAGAAGAAGAATCAAGCCCTTAATGGAGTGTTATAATGACAGAGAGTCCTTCCTCTAATGTCTCTGTGAAAAGGTTTATTTGGCTGGAAGAATTCTCTTATCCTATTATAAATTGTTAGGCACAGTGCAGGGAATATAAGTATGCTGCAAATCCAGCTTCCAATGACCTTTTCTCACAAAATGTGTTTTTGCGGAGTGAAAGCAGTGGAAGAAAGGCAATTCTAGATGATATATTTTGTTCCTATTATACAGAACAGTATTTCATCATATGAAAGAAATGGGAGTCCCCAGTGTTACTACTCTATTACAAAGAAAAGCACCTCTTTGAAAATTAATGAACACTAAATATTTGTACAGTCAAATGAAGATCTGTTTTCAGGGAACTGGTTGCCCTGTGTTCTTGGGGTCTAAGCTGGGAACTGTTCCAAATAAATACTGAGGCGAGTAGCCATGAATAACAATGATGAAATACTAGGGTTCAGATGATCACTTTCAAACTCATATTACCAGTCTGATCTCATGATATGCTAAACACACCCTTTTTTTTCTTTGCTAAGGAACAGCAGCTCTATTGTCTGACTGCAGTGATACATATTTTCAGCTTTACAGAAAAGAGCCTGGGTGTTCTGGTGAGTACCAGGCTGACATTAAGTGAGAAATGTAGCAAATCTTAGCAAATACGGCTAATGATGTCCTGGGCTGTGTTAGAGAAAAAGGATTGACAACAGGTGAGGGAGCTGATCCTATCCCTTAATTCAGCCCTTGTGAGGTCACATCTGTAGTGCTAGGACCATTTCTGGGCTCCCCAGTACTAGAGACACATGAGCATAGTCCAGCAAAGGGTCACAAAGATGACAGCAGCATCTCTCCTACAAGGAAAAGCCAAGAGAGGCTGTTCATCCTGGAGAGGAGAAGGCTCAGAAGGATCCCATCCACCAGATGGGAGAGTGCAACAAAGACACAGCCAGGCTCTTTTCAGTGGAGCCCAGTGATGGCACCAGAGGCAATGGAAAGAAAATGAATCACAGAAGGTTCACCCTGAACATCAGACAACACTTTCTCATTGTAAGGTGACAGAGCAGTGGCATAGGTTGTCTAGAGAGGTGGTGGGGTCTCCTTTGTGGGAGGTATTCAAAAGGTGTTTGGAGATGGTCATGGATCATTGGCTCTATGTGTCCCTGGCTTGAGCCAATGGTTGGATCAGGTGACCTCCAAAGTGCCTCTCAGACTCAACCATTCTGCAGTTCTGTGAAAAGAACAGCTCTCATCTCTTTCCATAGCCTGCTTTGTTACGGTTCCTACTCATTGGCTTCAGGCACTTTTATGGGGACATAAAACTGCTGTACTCAATAAATACTGGTTTTGATGCCACACATAAGAGAACGAGGTTTAGCTCTTAAGAGGAGAATAACCTGAAACTCTTGTGAATATTTCTGAATGCCTCAGTTTCAGTATGCATCAATAACTGCACAAAATACAGAGTGGTTGGAAACTAAACCTCTCCCTGAAATGGCAGAGATTGCAGTTCTCCCCACCTAACTAGCATCCCCCCAGTGCACCCCCAGCACTCACATGCAATGCGGACGTAGGCTTTGCGGCTCTTGGTGGTGCCTGCGGAGCTCCAGGCAACACACTGGCACCAGTAATCCTCCGGCCCAAAGAGCTCCTCCACTTGCTGCCGGGAAATCTCGATGCTGACCTCCCGGACAATCAGACCTGTCAGGGTGCAAGGAACACTGGTCAGTGTTGGGCTTACTGATGGAAAGAAAACAAGTGAAGTTGCAGAAATCTGCTTGCAAAGTTGCTGGGAGACCTTACAGCTCTCTACAAATATCTACTCAGCAACACAGACTGTGATAAGGATGCGAAGAGAAAGAAACTCCCACTTTGTCTGCATAACGAGAGATGTGGGTGAGTGAAAAGCTAATTACTGAGATTTTGACTTTCATCACATACAGCATGTATTTTAGACAAATTGGAGGAACAGCACCTCAGCTAATATAAATTGTACCACATCTCTAGGACAATGTACATCAAGAGACAATCCAAATCAGTTTTATTTTGATATATCATAAAACCACATAATCATATCAATTTATATTACTTCCTTAGCCCTTCTGTACTTAATCTCTTTTTGCTAGACAGACACAGCACAGGGAGAAGTCCTGTTCACTGTGACACTGAGGTGCCAGGAAAATGGATTTTAGGATGGCCAAAAATATCGTGATACTTCATAATGACGAGCACATGTGCGGAAGTATGGTTATTGCAAGCTGCCAGATGGACACTATTACTGTCATATATGCTGCAGATATTGGAATATTTTTTAAGGGATTTTATAACACAGTGAAACACAATTCAGTGCCTGACAGTCTCTCTGGCCCTGCCCTCCATAACCCATCTCAGCACAACCCTCCCCCAAACCCACAGTTGCACCCACGAGGACAGTGACCCACTTGCCATCCTTCCAAGCAGACCTAGATTTACCCACATTTCCCACACAGTGCTCTCTCCGGGGAAGCCTTTTTGCTTCTTCTAAATGCAAGGAAATTTTGCAGTGTCTCAGACACCACTGTGAGCATCGCTGGCAAAACGTGTACATCCTCTAATGATCCACTGTGTTTCACACAGACACAATCCTCTTCTCTCCTTCAAAATGCAGACCCTGGTCAAAACGCTCTTAATTACTGGGTGGGGGTGGGAGAAAGTTTTTACACCTTTTTTCAGCATATTTGCTCTTTGCTGATGATGCCCAAGTATCAACAAATTTCTAATGCATGTCTGCCAATAGAGAATACCATTGCCATTTCAAAAATGCACTCTTGCAAACAGTCTTGAATATAAAAATTCACATACAAGTCTTTTGTTTAGTGAGATTAATTTTTATTTCCAGAATTGCCAGGAAACTGAACTGAATTATCCTTGGATCAGAGCATGCACAGTTTGTCCCCATCACCAAACACCAAAGGGCAGGTCCTTCTGCTGAGCACAGACTTGAGCCTGTGGAGGCCAGCTACCCTCAGCCTCCTGCCACAGGGCTTACAAGGGGATATTCATAACGTGAATGCTCCCAGTCGTACAGCATGGCGTGTTCCTCGAGCGCTGGAAACCAGGCCAGCCCTTTGATTTGCCTTCAGCCTCACAGAGGCTCCATTCAGGGAGCCAATGATTAATTACTGTTTGCACACAGTTGTGCACTGTCACTGCAGCTGCATCCCAAAACTTGGGCAACAACCTAGCAGCAGAAAGGAATTAAGGCATGTAATACCACAGACTTCTCTGGTGGGAATGCTTTCTAATGAGATGTATTTTCCTGCTAGAGACTATCACAGCCCAGCTCCCTTGTATTTCATTATCCTTGACATCTTTAGCCATTGAATAATCAGCTTCTTTGGGGGAAACACTTAATAGCTCTTCTCTTTGAAATGGAATACTCAAAATATGGTAACAGCACTCCAAAGAATGGAAATCAAAGCAGTGCATAGGCACTTGATATGCAGTGAATACTGTGCTATAAACTTATTTTGCTTTGATTAGATAATTTAGCTCCATGAGGGGTCTGAGGGATAGCTTTTGTCCTGGTGAGAAGAGCATGAAGAGGGTGGGGAGGAGAATGAACCTTACATCCATAAAAATTGTTGTATTTTCCCAGTGCGACTTCTGCTAGTCTAAAGATTACTTCGGCTCATTCCCACAGTTTTTACTGCACTAGCCCAGGGAGCTTTTGAAGGTTACAACATTTTGTTTTTATAATAAGGCTGATTATGACAGAGCTTGATGGATCAGTGAACTTTGTTACCCAAGGGCCAAAATAAGCATGCTCATAATGACCATACTGGTTAATAATGATCATGAAATAGCCTTAACATTCAGGACACAAATGCCGTTTTCTGATTGTCTGTGGAAGATACAAAACTATACTACAAATAGCTGCTCCTTATAAATGCACCAGCAGGACTTTTTATCTTGGACCTCCTGAGATGCTTTCTAATTCAAAATAACAATCTACTCCTCATAATGTCTTTTGGGACTGCTGTGAAGTACTGACAGGTTTCAGGTTACTCAAAGTAATTTGGTCTTTGAGCAGTATCAACAACTGTGCCATGACCAAAGAGATGCACACCTTCTTTCCATAGCAAATAAATGCTACCTCTTTCTGCTTACAAGCAAAAAACATCATTGTGTCTTCATCTCTAAGGTATACTATGTTTCCTAGAGTTCAAAATGTATCAAACCAGTTGGTGGTGCCACAAGATCATCTGGGATGTAAGGATCCATGGCCAGAACTCGGAGATTTGATTCCACCACTGCTTCCCAGCGCAATACACTGGTGCCTTATTGCCCAAACAGCAACGCTGATTTAGGAGAAAACCCTCACCAGCTGAAACACACCCACCCTCAGACCCTGGGGCAAGCACAAGGAGACATGTTTCCCTTGTTGTACCAACTCACAATCTTATTCCTTCTGCTAGCACACTCCAACGTCACCCCAAACAGAAAATCCCTTTCTAGGCCATATTGCAAACACTGTAATTTGCTGAGATATCTCAGATAGCAACTGCCTTGTTACCAGCTGACACACTGCTGTACATCAGATTTCACAGAGGAGCTGGCACACTCTGTCTGCTTTCATTCAGGAGTGTATTGCTTATCTGTCTCCTGTGGGCACCAAGTGCAGGAAAACCCTTGCATGATGGCTTCAAACAGAGACCTTCATCTTATCTCTGTTGGACCTGCTTCTGCTTCTACACCAAAGAACATTAGCTAGAGGAATGGAAAAGAAAAAACAAAAAAAGGAAAAAGAAGAAAAAAAGCTGAATAACCCATGTCTCAATATTTCCAGACAATGTGGCATGCTGCACCTCTTATTCAGGCTACTGTTTATTAAATTGCTTGTTTATAAGTGAGTGCACAATCTCTGAGAGCAAAATTAGAAGTTGCTTTATAAAATGAGCCCCTGTATTTTGCCCAAATATACATAGGACAAGACAGACTAAGAGATCAGCAGTAAATTATGTATCATATACCTAGGACAAGACAGACTAAGAGATTAGCAGTAATTTATGTATCATATACCTATCAGGTACTGGCCAATTCCACTTTGTCATTGTGCTAAGTAAAATGTCATCTTCTCACAGAGAGTAAATCCTCTACCTTACCTTCTTCTTTAGAAATATATTGAAATTTTCAGTCTAGTTCTTTATACAGCTGAGATATAAAGCAGATGAAGATACACAGCATAAATGTGGTGGTTTTTTTGAACACTTAAGTAAGCTGACCATTTTCAGAATTACATAATAATCACTTAGATGGTGGAACTACTGACAAGAAGTCAGGATCTTTGTATTTCAAGTAATGCCATAGCAAACAGGGTTGAAGGGAAATAATAGCAATGTGGGCAGCTAGAATGCTTGTCAGGTTCCTTCTATAAATCCACAAAGGTCTGACCAAAGGGATATCCCCAACCATATGATGACATGGTCAGCATATAAAGCTGTGAGAACAATAAGGAAGATGTTCAGAGTGGTGGTATTTGTCCTGCAAAGTCACCTGTGATGGAGACATGCTTTCCTGGGGAACACCTGCCTGCCTACCAAGTGTTGAATAAAGTCTTTGTTTTGCTTTGCTTGCACAGTTTCTGGTTTACCTGTTAAACTGTCTTTATCTCAGCCCATAAGTTCCCTCACTTTTACCTGCTGGATTCTCAGCCCTATCCCACCATGGGAGTGAGTAGCTGTGTGTGGCTCAGTCACCAGCTGAACCTAAAGCAACAACAACCAGTATAAGATATTCTTTTGTCCTAGTAGTTTTCTGTCCAGTTCAGGATGGAGGATAGCAATGAAGAAGGCTTGTGGCATTTGTCAGAACTGGTCTGCAATTATGTCCTAGTCCAGTGAATCAAGAAGTTGCCTATAAGTCACAATTTTTGCCTACTTATTAGCACAGCTTTTTCAATTACTCATTTCAACAAAATAAATGTATTTCTGGGACTAATACAACTCGGGCTTTGAAAAGGGGTAGGAAGGAACCAGAACTTTACTTATTCTGTATTTGCAGGTTATGAGGGATTAGTGGGCAGAGAAAGGCAAAGGGTGGAAGGAATCTTTCTCAGTCTGCCTACTGCTAATAAGGACAGGGAGAGGCACTAACTCATGGTGTGTATCAAAATCTAAGTTAATATCCCTCATGGAGCAAAAGGAAGTGTGAAGAGGGAATTATGCCTTATATGCATGGTCTTTTATTATAACTGTATCCTAGAAACACAATAAAGCCAAAACACACTTCATACACATGGTCCCCAAGTGCTTAACTTAACTGGCTACACAAACTGTGAGGTAGATTATCTGGTCTTCAGAGGCACAAAACTATCTTTTTTACTGTATGCAAATGTAATGCAATTGTAGATATTATGGCAGATTATTGATAACTGCAGTTATAACTCATGGGTTCCATATTGCACCCACTGTAGTAACTGGCAAATTTCCCAATGATTTAAAAGTAACATATTTGCTGACCAGACACACTTCTTTCTAGGGAAACAAAAATGTCTCAAGGTGCTATGGCTATATAAGACTGCACAAGACAATAAATGATCACCACAAATATCAGAAAACAGAAAATTATTATAATTTAATCAAATGTAATTATTCAGCCTGGAGTCAGTCTAGGTCACAGAGTTCATATCTACACCTCACTGGGCACCATTCTGCCGAGAA